TCTCCATCAACATATAGTTTGTAATTTAACTGAACAATTGTAAGTTAGTATTGTATGAGAATATTAAGTGCTTATAATGCTAAAACGTTTAAAAAGTATTCAGGATTACTTCAACAGGTAGAAATAAAGTTAGACTTAGATCGGCTTTTGACTTGAAAATATCGAATATCGAGAAAATCACAAATAACGGATATCAGTGTTTCTATTATACCATTTTCTTGGATATCTGTCGAAATAACAGAATAAGAATGACCCAACAACGATTTTTATTCTTTTTTTTTTTTTTATTTATAAAAGTTCGTTCCTCTTCTGCCTTTATTTAGGTTGGCAGTCTTCAAGAACGACGTGGCGTTGTCGCTCTTAACTGTCTGTCATTTGTCTTTACATTTCAGGATTGAGATCTTGGGTAAAAACCACTGTCGGCTACTCCTCTTGCACTCCTACTAAAGGTCCGTTTACCACCCGTCTCGAGTCACGAGCAACGTCAAACAGAAATAGTTCAGGATCGTTCATCCGCCTCACTTCAGTGCACTACTCTGTGCTGTTTAAAGTGTACGCCGGGTGGGTATCGTTGTCGTAATCGTCGTAGATATTTCACTATAGTTACAAAGAAAGCTTTCGTCAGCTCTAAAGCTTTTTCCGATCGATCGATGCAATGTATATATTCGTATATTCGTGTGCGTATTTGTGTGTGTGTGTGTGGGTGCGTATGCTTGTGTGTGTGTGCATTCGCACGAGTGTATATGGTGATAAATTAACCTTGCCGCTATTGCAGGCCATCGGTCGCCGTTGGAAACTGTCCAACGCTTTACGTCGGAACCGGGGTGGATATATATATATACGTCCGATTAAATGCGACTCGGATAAAAACGACACTCAGTTTGTTGTTGTTATACTGTTGTAGAAGTAGCAACGGATTGGTGGTGGGGTAGGTAAACGAGTATCTGTATGTGTGTGTGTACTGTTTTTATTTTATACCAACCGACCACCTTACTGATTTACGATATTGCCGATTGAAAAAAATGCAGAATTAAATGGACTTTTATTTTTCACAAACAGGCACCGATGAAAAAAAAAATATTGGTATAAAAAAATAAAATACTGTAAAATGTGAATACCAGTTTTTTTATGTATTCATCGATTCGTAGACGCGCGCGCGCGCACGTGTGATATGCATGGGTACGATGAAGTTGTCACCTAATATTTGTGGCTCTCATGAAAGCCACTGGGAATAATAATAATTATTGACATTCGGTATTTGTAATAAAGTGTTTTCAGTGTCCGCATGGGACGAATTTAAACCTCTACAAAAATAATCACAGTTTTTCAGTGCCCCGCCATGTTTAATACCTCCCCGACAAATACCACCAACTAATTTTAGTCAGTCAGTATTAAATCAAAAATAATACATTTTTACGCTTAAAGGATTTCATGACATATCATCAAAATATTTATACATTTATAAATGGCTGACTTAAATATTTACCGCTGTCTTAATTAATTTTATAATAATATCAATCATATAAAAATTAACATATTACATATAACTATTCATAATACTTCTTTTTTCATAACAATGCATAGAATAATATTATTACTATTGCTCTGTAGTCTGAATACTAGTAGGTACCTACTATTTTTATTTATTTATTTTCTATTATGCATTTAAATGTTCTATTTACGTATAAACTAAAGATTTGAATCCTAAAAAGTACTTTGTGACTTCCCGTCACCCATTTTACACATATTATATCTTATGAATTAAATCACGATAAAGTTCAAATACATAATTATGACGTACACTATATTATTCATCGCCCAAAATTTACCAATCGAATTAAAATCTAAGTGTAATTTAAACACGATGAATTAATGTTAATAATAATATTTATATTTATCTAATATCTAATGTTATAATTAAATGTATATATTGAATAAGAAATTTTTATATACAAGTACCTATTTAAAATCATATAAACACCGTATAAAAGTAGTATATTTTCAATTTTTTTAAAATTTTAAATTTTCCATTGGAAGACTATTAAAGGAAAACAAGCATGACATATATAAAATCCATTATCATTGTATAGAATGTTTCATTAAGAATGCCAAATTTAATCTTCTTAAAAATGTATTAAAAAAAATTATTTTGAACAAAAAAAATTCTTCAACATGTAGTATATATTCTGCGATTTAAGTGTAAAATATCACATCTGACATATGTCCACCTCGACTTTGCTGACAAGTTTCTGTTCATAACACGAAATTTGCTATCACTTGCTGTCACATCTCCGAGTTAAGTTCACCAATGATACGACGAATTTCTTCCTTAAGTTCTTTAATTTTAAAAATTTGTAAACCAGCAAAACTGTAGACTTTGGGAGACAGAAAACCCACAACAAATTGAACAACGTCAAATGCATCCTAAGCGAGTAAGTGTATAGTGTGGCTTTTGGAGTGGAAGTGTTATTGGCCCATATTTTTTTCAAGATGAATATGAAAACATAATGACGGTAACCAGAGAACGTTATCGAGCTATGATAACAGAATTCTTGTGACCAGCATTAAACGATTTTGACATAATCGATAAATAGTTCCTGCAGGACGGCGCCACTTCCCATACTGCTCGTGTGACAATCATGTTATTGTACGAAAAAATTGAGGGCAGACTTCTCTCACGATCTGGTGATCAAAACTGGCCTCTCAGATCATGTGATCTAATTCCAATGGATTTTTTCCTCTGGGGTTACGTCAAAGCCAATGTCTACGAAAACAAACCACGAACAATTGAAGAACTTAAGCAAGAATTCGTCGTGTCATTGGTGAACTAAACCCGGAGATGTGTCAGTAAGTGATAGCAAATTTTGTGTTACGAACAAAAGCTTGCCAGATGTGATATTTCACACTTAAATCGCAGAATATATACAATTTGTTGATGTATTTTTTTTTGTTCAAAATAATTTTTTTCGATAAATTTATAACAATATAAAGTCCGGCGCTCTTAATGAAATACGTTATAGAATGTTTAATATGCTGTAATATAATTAATCACATATGTATTTCTTTTATCATTATTTTGATGTATTTAATCTTTGTAAAATTAATTTATTATTGAATATATTAAAATATGTATGTATGTATGTATGTAACAATCTTCTGTATTTTTGTTTTTTATCATTTCATGTTTGATATTTTATAATTATTTTATGTAGGTTTTTTACTATTAATTTATTCCTATTTATATTAGTTATTTAATTAATATCAAAAATACATCATAATGTAATTTTCTTTACAAATTCCATTCAAACTCACAAAAAATATCATCTTTAAAATGTAAAGTTATTTTAATGGTTCTAATTTTTTCAATTCATATTTGAAGTATGTTATTTACCATTTAAGATCGAAAAATAAAAAGCAGCATTTTTTTCATGTTAAATTATTATTTTAATTCCACACTCTATTACTTCAATAAGACTAAAACATAACAGCTAAAACGAATCTACTATTCGGTTACTAAATTATATACATTATTAAACTATAAAATTTAAATAAAAAATTGATTTGATCAGATGTTTTAACTAATAAACTAGTTTACATAATTTATTATGAATTATATATTCTAATTCTTAAAAGGATATTAAGTATCACACAATATTTGTCGTGACGTATGTTTGTTTCTAAATATAAAATCATAAAAATTAAATAACACAAAACAATCTCTAATCTTTGTAGATCAAACGAAAAAGAAATACGAAAGACAGACACGACAGCCATATACCTAAAAGCACAACTTTTGTTAAAACACTGATATGACCGATCATGAGCACTGCGCTTATTAGGCATAGAATATCCAAGAACCCCATGGGTTCGAAACATAAAATTCTAGAATTTTCTCGGTACGCATTTTCTTTTATACAATATATTTTCTATACATTTTCAATACAAATGCATACAAATAATTAACATTATAATATGTAATAAAATTGAGAGGGTTGCTACAATATATAATATTATGTGTTATGTATTTATTATTTAGTTTGTATGACTTATTTAACAAAGAAGTCAGCGGAACAAAATTAAACAATATTTATTTTTTCAGATGCTATACTTTATGTTATTCATTTAAATTTTTACTTTAAGTTTAATATCTACTTTAAAATCTTGAAATTTGAATAACTATTTCTAACCAGTAACTTGTTTTAATATTTAAAGATGTATAATAAATACCTATTTGCATCCAAGTGCAATAACCAACAAATTCAATTATAAAATATTTTATGTAACTTAGATAAGATAACTGATCTCTAAAAAGTCAAAAACAAATATATGAGATAATTAATTTTACTCAGAATTATGCCATATTACTGATAGTACCAAAAATAATCCTTCGTATTCCTTTTCGTTGTAAAGGTCTTATATATGAGGGTCATACTCAGTATTAAATTTAAATTATTTTTAAATTGTTACGAGCTCTATAAAGCGTTACTGTGTTCCGTGTGTTAAAAGCATATTATGGATTTTTAGTAGAAGGTATGTTTCATGTGAAAGATAATACGAACTGTGTAAATTTTGGTGACATCGACAGGTGTATACGAGTTACGGAAAACTGGGGAGAGTATGTTTTATGAGCCCCAGGCGAGTAATTTCATAGTGATGCCCTTAGAAAAACGTGTTTTCCCCCAGAAACCGATAGCCACGTCTTATGAGGGATCCGTGGTCGTTCATTAATTTTTAATTAAGTATCGCAAGATTAAAGGAAAAAGTAGTTGTAGTTATAAGAGGGGAAATAGGAAAACCGAATTTCTACAGTTACTAATATTCTGATATAATGGTGTTAGGAGTTCAATTTCATCTAATATAATTTTACTCATCATGCACTATTGCTTAGCAGAATTTTTAATCACTCAGCAAAACAAATGTGAAATGAGTTATATAATATTACTCATATTTAACTTATGTATCAATATGTATGATTTTTATTCGATTATTATTTATTTTAGGGATGAAGACTGCAGAAGATGCTTGGTGATAACAGAAAAACATCAGAACGTAATACAGTACAAAGAAAGTGAGTTTTGCATAATACATTATTTATTTTTTAATTAATTTATCTCAAAATTGAGTTATCTTTTACTAAATTTAAGGTTTTTAAAAATAGTAGGGTAGAAGATCCTGAAAAACTCAATTTATTTCACTGGTAAACAATTAGTTTTTAGTTTAAATTTTTAATTAATATTTTCATCCTTCCTTAAATTGTCTTCTATAGTATACTATTTTTTTAAGTATACATGTTATATAATAAATTTAATTTTGTGATTGATTTTTCGTTATTAGAAGTTTAATAGATTTACTTCACAAATATTTTGAAATAAATCTCCAATTAAACATATGAGTATGTACAATTTAAGTAAAAAGATGGAAACATTTTCATAAATTTACTTTTGAGTAATTTCAAAAAAGTTCGATTTAAACACCATTTAGTTTAATTGTTTACATATGGTTTTTGAAATAATTTATTCATAAAAAATATTTGGTGTTTTAATTTGTGTTTAATCATAAATTTAATATTTCTTTTAATTTTAAAATGCTATGTGTTTTTAATCACTTTAATATTTTTGCATATTCAAGATATTTAAAAAATTCAATCAACTTCTATTAATTTTTCTAAAATATTCAACATAAAACTAATTTTTACTTCAGCTAAGCAAGTAAACCAAACTTTCAAAGAGAAAACTATAAAATTATAATAAATCTAAACATTCTAAATCTCAAACTTGACTATTTATGATCTAATACTAATTAATAATCTCTAAATTTGGGTTTTTGCATTTTGTATTGTTTCACAGATAAAGTTATAAATTATTGTTTTACAATTTATATTTTCAAAACATTTCACTAAGTAGTGTTAACATAATAATACTAAAGAAAAAATCATACAGTTAAATACCAGAAAAAATTTATTTTTATCAAAATAAAACGTGATGGTTTTTTTCTAACATCCTCAACCGGACATATAAAAATTCTTGTGAAACCAGAAAATCTCTTAAAACCTTAAATTCCCTGAAGTACGTCGTAAAAAAAAATCGATATCCTTTGTAAACCCTAAACAACGTATGATATTACTCGTATGGAATGAAAAATATTGACTAAAATTCCTATATATAAACAAATTTTGTTTTTGGTTCATGCATATTACATATCTCGTCGTGGCTTGTTTTTACTGCTTTATTTATTTTACTCGAATCATTATTCTTTATTTTTTTATTTTTTTTATACGGGAATTTATAATAATAATAGCCCGGTAGTTATGTGTTGAAGTTAAATAATTTTATTTGACACATAAAATGTATATGCGATGTACCTTAAAATCCGTACCATTCGTGTCACATTCTAGAATTAAATTGACGTATTTGAAATCTGAAGGCAAAATCCAATGGTGAGTTTACACACACATACACACATAAGTATACAGTCGGGTGCACCTTTCAACATTGTAGAAATTGCAGAGAGTTTGGCGGTAAAATCGGCTTAGGGCCCCTCAGGGCCTTACTTACACGTCTCTCCACATCTTGCTGCCAAGTATTTTCCCATCTTAATAGCTTCTTACACTAAGATCCTTGGTACTCCATTAACTAATAGCCTATCCCACTGGACCACTGTCGTTGTTGCCCATAGCAACATGACAGCTAAAACGAGTTAATTATGTATACCTGTCTAACAGATAAAAATATTAGTATAAATTTAATATTACATTTATCCATCAATGTATAGAAATAGTATAAAATGAATTAAATTTTGAAAATGTATACATAAATATGTTTTTTTGTAAGTAATACGTATACAATTTATACTGTAAATGAAAGTATAATATTGGAATATTGAACGACATTTTAATTTAAATCAAATATTGTTTCTAAATTCTTAACAATATATTAAAATATTTTTATATTACTTATAAGTATATAATTATCACAATATGTTCATTCCTAATCATATATAAATTATATTATGGTGTTAATATATGTATATATTAATTATATTGTGTTTATTTATCACATAATATTAAGCACTGAATTATTTATGGAAAATTGCTTTTATAATAATTTTTTATATTCTTATTATTCAATATTCCTACAACTTTTTAACTTAATTTTTAAGAATATTGATATCATTTTATTATGATATTTTCCAATAAAAATGTCCTTAGATATTAAACACTAATATCTCATAATAACATTTACCTCAAATACTTCCAGATTCACTGAATATAATTCTGACCTGTTTTTAAGACATAACTATTACACATCTTAAATATTTAAAACTATAAATAAAGTTTCCCCTGATAAAACTTTTAACATTTGTAAATCCAAAGTTAGCTACCTTAAAGTTTAGAAATTTGCAATATACTACATAGGTTTCTCTGAAGTTAATCACTATACAACCTGACAAAACTTCAGGTAAAAATTACTGTACTGTACATATTTTTACGTGTAAAATGAAACATCAAAAACGTTTAAATGAAATTATACTAAAATGTTTTACTAGAGAGAATCTGACTTTGAACAAAGTCTTAATAAAGTAAAAAAATTTAAATTCGACTACCCATTACAGTAGTTCCTATTACAATATAATGTTATTTGACATTGTTTTCAAATATAATGTATTCTTTTGTTGCCTTAATAAAAATTATTGTCCTGCTTAATATTAACCCTTTTTTCATTATGATTATGTATTTTTAATTTAATTTCTTAAGAATTTCAGTCACATGCCATTATGCCATTAATAATTTTTATACGAATCAATTTAATGATCTATATTTGCGATATTAATATTTAATAAATATAATTTATATGTATATGCATATGTGTGTGAATCACATATTAAAACAATGAATTTGAGACTTTTTATTTCTATCTTTATTTTTTGAGTACGACATGATCTATGAGTAAGCTATCCCAAATATAATGAGAAAAAGCTAAAAAAAAAAATACGACGCGTTATTGAAATTATCAATTCTTATCTGATGTCAGCTTTTACACTATATCCAAAAGGTATCCACTGAATAGACCGTGAAAAACAACGAAATTCTATATTCGTGACTGAATTAACTTTTAGATATTTTCTAATCGATTTTTAACTACATACAAAATATATCCATACTTAAATACGTGTGAAAAAACTCCTTAGACTCAAAGTGATTACGAAAATCATACATCTATATTCAATTTTATATGTGTACATTAATCCAGACACAGTGATCTCTCTTTCTGCATAATTAACTCGGTACAAATAAACTGCGTAGCCGCTTTTTATATATTTGTATTAATTAAAGCAGTCACTCTTCAAACTATTGAAGTATATTTTTATTAAATTCATTTTACTTTATTCATTTCATTTTATTTTATATTTAATATTAATAACATTTGGAATTGTTCTGGTTAATGTAAAAAAAAAAAATAGTTTTCACATTACCGCAAAAATCTAAATATAGAATTTGAATAAATATATGATGCTTTATGAACATTTTTTGCTTATTTTTTTTTTTCTTTTAGTTTCTTATAATAATTATTATTATTATAAATATCTTGTTCTACGATAAATAATTATATTATTTTTTATCAATGTATACAATTGCCTATGATTAAAATAACGAGTAAATATATTGAAGCCTCGGAAGTAAATTAAAAGCATCTATAACTCCTAATGTAACATATGAATTTTTAATTTTATTATTTTCAGTAATGAATTTCATAAGTTCTTTCCCCGTATTTTTACGTCTCGGGAGACGTTTTCATCTAAAAACTTCCTCTTTACCTTCCGGTTGTTAATGGAAAACCGGCCAAGCATAAGGAATAGTAATTACCGTATAATAGCTATAAAGGGGGAAAAAGTAGCGTCCACTTGTGAATTATTTATACATAGAAATCTTTTTTTTCGCTAACTTCTAAGGTTTTTTTGTTTTTATTACTCGATAATGTGCATGTCAACGTATATTTTTTAAATATAATATTTTTATTTTGTACTTTAATATTGGTAACGTTGGAAATTGTATAATTTCTAGCTATATTTTTCAGAAATCTATTAAGGAAAATCACATGTAACTATTACACGGTTCCTAGTACAATAGTCATCAGCTTATTCATAACATCATCATTGAATTCATACAGTGAAAGTTAATTAGCGAAAAGTGTGTTTTTTTAATCAAATGTACTTTTACAAACGTTTTAATGGATCTGATATAGTGATACTTTGAATTGGCTTTGCTGGTACACTATGAATGACCAATGAATAACGTAAATTCTTATTGTGTGACACATTTACGAGTACAACTAACTTAATGGTCATAAAATTCGTCCATCTCGAACCAATCTATTAATTAGTAATATCGTTGCGATCGTGTCATTTTACTAATAAAATAAACAATAACTAATTATAAATGAATTTAATAAGTATCGTGGCATATATTAATAAATGAGCAGCAAAACGATACACCCATTTATCATTTTTAACATGTCTAAATGATCTATAATGTGTCCAGATCTAATAATCTAATCTAACCCAGTCAACCTTATTTAAAAAATGTTAAGACAATAATTTAAAAACCTAAAAGAGTATTCATCTTTATTGTTAATAGATCATTGTTATTTGACTCCGGTTTTCTTCTGCCTACCATTTATTTTAATCCTCGGAATACTGCAGCTAAAACTAAATTGTACAACGACAATCCAATTGTATAAAGGTTTCCAAGGATGATTCGATAAATGGAATAATATTCGTTCTGTTTATTATTTTTAATTTTTAAATTTTTAAAGTACTTAAGTCCTGCGCTACAACAAAATTGTATTATTAGATTTTTTTTTTTTTTTGATATTTAATCAACTTAAATTTGATCATTTAAAATTTTACTCTACAGTTTGAAAAAAAAATCCAAAATAGTCATTTGTAAATAGTATTTTTAGAAAAAAGTATAGTTTTAAAATAACTTGTTAAAACTGAACCATTGATTAATTATAAATTATAATTACTATTTAAAATTTTTAAAAATATGAATTTAATAATTATAATGAT